GGTCAGGCACTGGAACAGACTGCCCAGGGAGGTGGTTGAGTCGTCATCCCTGGATGTGTTCAAGTGTCGCTTAGATGTTGTGTTGGGTGATATGATTTAGGGGTGAACTTGTAGTGTAGGGTTAATGGTTGGACTCGATGATCCCAAGGGTCTTTTCCAACCTGAATTGAATTATTCTATGATTCTATGAAATTTATTCTCTTAAAAATTGAGAGCCAGTTATAGACTTGCTTTTCCTTGACTTTTCATTTATTCAATTAAATTGAATGAGCTAATAATCTGAGTTTAGGGGTACTTTTGTTTGTGTGTGATGTCCTCCCCTCTTACTGAAACCAAAGCTAAAAGAGTCACTGCGTCCAGAGAACAAGTTATTTGATTAAGGTATTAGATGCTTCAGCTGGGAAGCCTAGTTTCTAATATTATCATAAAATTTCCTCTTCAGTCAATACGTGGAAAGCTATGCTTCTACCAGGTACTTCATAGCAATGATGTGGTTCAGGCAGTAAGACTCTTTTAGATGTGTCCTCATCTAGATGTGACCTTGAAGGCCTTTGTAGGCTTCACACTATCCCAGAAGACAGTGCATCTCAAAAAGCAACCCTTTTTTTAGCCATGCTACTTTTTTTTTCTTTACAATCTGCCATAATTGTTACTTATTTTTTACCGATAAGTTTCCTGCACAAGTCAAAGCGGGAACTGCTCTTGTTATTGCATCTTTACCATTCCTTCCTTGTAACATTTTGTTTTACATCCTGTACAGGGGCCAACAGCACGTGTCTGCTCTCTAGGCCTCTGCACTCAAGTGGCCACCAGCAACATCCTGTTTAGATTAAGTGCATCATTGGAATCAATTCTCTGACTACTGTCCTTACCTATATAAGTAACTTAATCTTGCTCTTTACCCTTCTGTCCTTCGACATTCATGTATGTGTTGTTGGTTTATCATCTGCCTGATTTTCCTCTCCATGTGTTTCAAAACCAGGTATGGGGATCACAAAAATTTCCTCCAGCCTTTGCTCCGATTTGAAAAACCTCCTTTGTAAAGATTTTCAGTATTTTATAGACTAGTCTCAGCATCTCTATTTCAAAATGATTGTTGATGGTTTTGCAACCAAAAGAGGCGACCAAGCAGGGCTTGGGTTTGCTTAGCAGCCAAGATTAGACCATCAAATCTCCTCCATCAGTGGCTGAACAAAAGGTACAGTTCATTGAATGTATGCTATTTCCTACTTTCCGAACTTCAGTGAAAACTTCATCATAAGAAAGTAAATAGTGAGAGCACATAAAGAACTCTTGGGTCCTGGAGTTAGTTTTATTTGACTCTTTCTAGGCTAGAAATAGTATATTTCTATTTCCCAGGACACTCGATATTGTAAAGTTGTGAAATAGATAGGGATGATCACTACAGTACATAGATATAAGCAGAAATAGGATAGTCTGACCTAAAATTTTCACCAAGACCCTAATCCAATACCTACTTTCAGTATGGTTTTCTGGTCAGACTCTGCCTTGTCATAGACAATGCACAACCTCAGCTGATTTCAGGAAGCTTTTTGTTATTGTAAGGAAAATGTTTCTCCCACTTAGAAGCAACTCTTACATGTGTGCCTACGGATCAAATTAAGATGTTGTGCGTAACTGCTAAATCTCACTTCAGCAACAATTGTCTTTGTTGTAGTTTCAATACTGCTACACACAACATGGATCTGGAGAGGGAGAATTAACTTCATTGAACCAAACAAGACAGTTGCAGGAGGCCATCCAGCTTCCAGGCCTGTAAATCCCTCAAGAGGATCTTGCAGGAGAGATTATGTGCCCAAAATTTGCACAATTTTCTGTCCTGACTATATCAAGGGACACCTTCAGAATTTCTCTACTGGCCAGACAGTAGTACCTCAGTCAAGTTGGAAAAGGCTGATGAGCTGCCATCTCCCAGCTGCCTGTTTTCTCTCTTAGAATTTTATATGGTTCTGGGTTATCGCTTTTTCTCTCGAACCCTTCAGCTGCCAGCCATCACCTCCCAGCTTCTGGTTGTGGAAAATTTTGCATATTGTTTTTTACCAAGTTAGCATAATGACCTTTGAAAATGGCATCCTATGGTACCATGCATAACGTGGAAGAGGTGGGAAGGATGCAGAGCTCTAGCCATCTCTCTGGCTCCCCTGCCCAGTACCCTGCTGCTCTAAAACATGTGGGATGTTGAACGTTGGGTCCCCAGCAGAATCTCTGCCTCTCAACATCCCGTTGCACCACACTGCTTGCTAGTTTAAACATAGTCTTTCATAAGCAACAGCAAACAAGGGAGTATGAAAGTTTATGAAAGATCACCAGAATCCTAGTAAAGGGCAAGTCCTAATCAGCCAGTTGCTATTGAATAGTAAATAATCTACTTTACTAAGCATAAGCCACAAAGGCACCCTAGGAAGAGGTATCCTCTTCTTATTTTCCAGTTTGAGTATGCAAGATGGCCATAAAAATAATTTTTACAATGGGTCACTGGTTCCCATTACCCTGGAACCAAGTCCTTGCATACTGTGACCAAGAGTGCTTAACATGAAATGCTAAACAAAACACATTTTCTGGGTGACTTCTTTGTATGCAAAATGAAATGTGGGTTGTTTGGGGACCAGAATCATTCTGTTTAGATTCAGTGTATGAAACTGGATGTATTGCAGCCTCTTCCACATGCTAAGCCACACTTGTGAATATTTCACTGCTGTTCATAAAATGAACAAAAAATCAGCCTTGTCTCTAAGGCAACCACATACTAGTAAAACACAGAAATAATTGCTGTTTGAATTTGCACTGGAAATTGCTATGATTCCAGGATAACAGCCTAATGGCTACTCAAAAAAAGCTGGAATATTTTTTTCCTGACTCAGCCCTCTGTAGCAGATTGCTCAATACTATTGACTAGTCAAAATGCAAACTTTAAATGGGTTTTACTTCCACATCACATTTGCAAAAATGCTCTCCCGGCTGATTTTAGGAATGCAAGGGAGAAAAAAGAGATCTCGGAGACAACAGAAAATGCATTTTGTGGTATAAAGAAACCCCAAAGAGAAAGGCTTCAGTGAAATGAGGAACCATTTTGAGTTCTTAAATTAAAGACAAGAAACATAATATCCTACATTTGATACGTTGTTATCCTAAGTATAGATGACTGTCATCCATTTCCTCTTATGCTGAAAGCATCGTGAGACCGAAGAACTTAACCACAAAGTCACATTTGTGCAGAGTCTAGACTCATAATGCTCCTGCTATGAAACATGAACATGAAAGAAGATGACATTTAGCTCTTTGGAGCAGTTTTTGCACATATTGGTAGTTAAGCCCTCTCCTTAACCTCAGTGATTTGTGTTTTTTTTTTTTATTAGACTGCTCAGGAAGGAACAGATGTGTTCATGTTTACTTGCTGAGAAAAGTGGGCTGAAAAGTTGGCCGCCTTTTCACTGCTGTTTCAGCTTGTAACCCATTTTTAGAGGCAGGCTTGCAGACTGAGGTGAAGGTCATAACTTCTTTGTGGATCACACTTGTTACAGCCAGTCAGGACCCTTCTGCCTCTCAATATTTACACAGAGTGTTCATTCAGCAGCTGGGGCTAGGAATCAATAAGTTGCGTCAATTGGAACCTCAGACTTTGCCTTTCCAGTGGTGTAGAAGTGCAATTTATACCAGTGCAAGCCAAAGTGCATCACAGAGGTGAATGCCAAAGACATAAACAGTGCTCTTCAGAAGAAAAAAAATTTTAAAATCCCTAACCACTTCTATTTCCTTGCAGAGGTTGATGAAGATTGGCAAGGACTTGATGAAGATGTTGCCCACATCCCCTTCTTTGCAGAGCGCTACTCTGAGGCTGAAATGATTAAAAGGTCACAGATGTTTTACGAGCTTCTTAGTAAGAGGCGATCTGTCAGGTTTCTCAGTGATGAGCCAGTCCCCAAGGAGGTTATCGATAATGTCATCAGAGCAGCAGGTATGGTACTTTTTTTCTGAAGAAAAAAAAGGAAAAGGATCAGCATTGCTGTTAAACTGTGTAAAGGTGATATGGAAAAGCCAAGGGAATTAACATTTGGCTTATGGTTTTCCTAGATTCGCCTGTAGCCGTAATGAATGAGCACTCATTGATTGACTGGAAATTACTCAGCTTGAACAATTGTATGTTGGGGACTGGTTTGGAATATTCACAACTCCTTTGTATTTGCAGTGCACCCAGAAGGGAAAAAGAGGGTTTCAACAACATGAAACAAAACATTTAATTTTCTAGCTTTAAAAGATTTTGCTTAAAATAAAATTGATATACAGTTTTGTAAGATATCTTTCAAATAGAAATATTGACACATTATTTTTCAAAATGTGAAAACATATGTACTTCACATGCTTTAAAATTTTATGCATTCTGATGATATGTGGGTTTTGTTTGGGCGTTTTGTTTGTTTTCCCCAAACAAATGTATAAAATTTTCTCGGCTGTGGAAAATATTTCACATGATGTAAATGGCTGGACTTTGCTATGGAAAAAAAAAGTTTCAGTCTAGAACAAAAAACTTTTTCAATTTATTTGACCCAATGTCAGAAATGTGGGATTTTTTTGGGTTTCATTTGGGGGGGTGGGGGTGGTTTTCGTTGTTTTTTTAGAATTTGTGTATTTCACACCATTGCTGTCAGGTCCTGGCCTAATCTCACCTCTGCTTTAGTAATGTTGATTTCAGCCAGCAGTGGTTTTGACTCTCATTATTTCTCTTACTCTATGAACCAGCTGCTGCAAGTATAGAAAATATTCACAAGCTGCCTTAGAGAAAAGTTTGGTAGCCTCCAGCAGGATTAATAATAAAGAGATTCTTAGCATTTGAGGTGCATTGTTTTCCCTTTAAAAATGGTAAGCAGCTTTGTTACTACACTGTAATGAGTCTCCATCTTCCTCTAATTAGCTGGGAGTCATTAAAACACTGAGCAGGTTTTTGCAAATGCACCAAAGGAAACAAGCCTGGAGTGCCGATGAAGTACTTAGTAACCCTGAAAGCTTTGGGCAGTAGAGAGAAAAAGAAAACAAAGCAAAGCATAAATGTCATCAGTCCTTACCCAACCGTGAGGAAAGCCAAGCTTCATGACATAAACACATTTTAATATAAAAGGCACTCCAAGCTGCTTTTTGGTGTTTCTTAAACTGAAATCGGTGCTTAGGTAAGCAAATATTATATGTGTTCAAGACTTTCAAATATTTCTTAAATGTGTCTGAGGGGCTAGAGAGATGTAGCCAATCCCCTTAACCTATTTATCTGTGGAACTGCACAGATATGTTCTTCAGCTTCTGTCTTTTATTCTCTAAGCAGTTGAAATATTCTGCAGTGGAGTAGGGCTGAACGAGCAAGCGCAGATTTAATATGTGCACACCTACATACACCAGCTGTCCTTGGGACAACAAACTCAGGCCTGTACTCTCTGTGGCAGATGTCTGCATTGTGCAGCTCCTCATCTTTGTCAGTCAGCAACAGATTCCTGCAGGTGGCTGCTTTGCCTTGTTTCCCCGAAAACCATTAACTTTGCCCTTCAGCTAAAACCGTGTCTCAGAGCTGGGCGCATATTCAGATGGTGTGTTGTTCTCGGTTTGATACTTTGCAGTAACGTTATTGTGTGAGTATATTGCACCGTAATACTGCCTCATCGTGAGAACCACAAAGGAACTTTTACAAATCCCTAACTTAGATTTCCTGTAAGGTGGCTGTATGAAAGGGCTTACCTCTGTCACTGAATGGGACTTTACATTCTTTGAGAAAGAAATGAACAGGATTGCCTGCCAGAACTTGTCTCGGTGCTGTTTTTCCTGTCTCATCCACTTGCTTTCCCATCACTTTGCTGGTCAGCCGGAAAGCCCACAAGGAAGAGCTGATCCATCTCACTGCACACCCCCCTTCCTGGGTTTTTCACCTTTCTCTGTTTTTGTATGAAGGTACTTCACCCAGTGGAGCGCACACTGAGCCCTGGACCTTTGTGGTAGTGCAAGATCCACACCTAAAACATAAGATTCGTGAGATCGTAGAAGAAGAAGAAGAAATCAACTACAAAAAAAGGATGGGAGACAGATGGGTTAATGACCTGAAAAGACTGAGGTATGAAAGAGTCAGTTGGCTAAGTGGTCTGAAGGGGGCTGTGTTTTAATTCAGAAAAGACTATATTAGGAACTATATAGAAAGACACTATTTCAGTCATGCTGCTGCTTGTTTTTTTGCTTGCTTTTTTTTTCCTCCTTCATTTTTTTCCACTCTTAGTTTCAGGGAGAGAAAAAAATAAACAGCCCAAACGCAAAACCTCAAAATATTCAGCTCAATTTTTAAAATTTGGTTTTAAAAATGTGTTCCTTCAAGTCCATGCTCCTGAAACTCTCTCCAGTTTTCTGGTGCAGCTGTAAATATTTCTTATGCCCTCGTCAGAGCAAAAGAAGGAAGATGGGATCAGAGACTGCCCCAGCCCGAGAGCTGCCAGGGTCACTATAACATGGTCCTTTTGCTCATTTGCAGCTGGGAAGAAAAGCCTCCTGTCCAAGGAAAGTGGAGTTCCTGCACAGCAGGAACTGCAAAAAAAACTTTGCTATCTATATGTTAATTCTGGCTGCCTTGTTCTAAGGACCAGGTGAGATGCAACACCAGACTGATGCACACAAAAGAAAAAGTCACTCTATCTGTGTGCTTCAGTTTTGCCTGAAGAAGGATTAAATAAGTTACTTGGAGGTTCACCCCGCTCTTTCCTGTTGCATGGCTTTGTCTTGATTCTCAAGGTAATGAGAATCTTACTAACAAACACCACAGCTTAGAAAACTGAAGTGATGGAAGAAACTTCTCTTGAATTCTTCTACCATCCTTTTGCATTTCTTCCTCTCTCTCACTTTTAAGATACTTTTAATATTCATGTTTGGAAAGAAAAACTTAAAAATATGTGTAGAAGTGTGCCCTGATGACTGGTTCATAAAAATGCCTCCAGTAAAAGTGATTATATGCTCTCTGTATTTTGGCTCCATATTTTTATTTTTATTTTTATTTTTATTTTT